TCAGTAGTCTGCATTTGTAGGACTGGCAGGTCATTATTACTTACACTCCACGGAAGGCATCAAATCAATTCCTGACCATTTCCTGGTTCACTCCAAACCTACAAGTCTTGGTAAAATAATGCAACGAGCTATCCAACCAACTGGTTTTTGGCCAATACTGTATCTTAAACGGTTCAATTAGCTTAAAAGAAATCATCTCTCCCCACTCCTTTCTCCCATTTCCTGAGTGGTATCTTTTTTCTTTACCTCTTATCTTTTCTGTTTCACATCAAGGGAAACCCAGTCATCCAGAGTGACTTTATAGGCTTTATCACCTCCTACTCCTAACAAGGGCGGGAAGTGAAGACTTGGTGAAGACTGCTGACTGTTGGCTCCTACTTATGTCTTCTTATTGCTGCCCTAAATGTAAAGCTAATATGATCCATCCTTTTATATCAAACACTTCTCACTACCCCTGCTCTTGCATTCTCCTCTAGGATTCACTTTTACCTTCCTAGATGTTTCATCACTTGGCTCACACTTTTCCTTCTAATCCTCTATTGTTTTTCTTTGACTGTGTTTTCTATTATGAGAAAGGAAGCACAGGCTGGACACGGTGGCTCCCAACTCTTTGGGAGGCCGAGGGGGCGGATCACCTGAGGTCGGGAGTTCGAGACCAGCCTGATCAACATAGAGAAACCCCATCTCTACTAAAAATACAAAATTAGCCAGGTGTGGTGGTGAATGCCTGTGATCCCAGCTACTTGGGAGGTTGAGGCAGGAGAATCGCTTGAACCCGGGAGGTGGAGGTTGTGGTGAGTCAAGATCATGCCATTGCACTCCAGCCTGGGCAACAAGAGGGAAACTCTGTCTCAAAGAAAAAAAAAAAAAAAGAAAAAAAGAAAAAGAGAAAGGAAGCATAGTGGTCGAGGGCCAGGATTCTGGAGTCATACTACCATATTTGAACCCTGACTTTACCATTTCCTAACTGTATTAAGACAGCTTAACATCTATAGGCTTTAGTTTCCTCATTTATAAAGTGGGAATAAAAATAATAATACAAACATTATAACAATAAATAAAACCTGCAAAGCACTGAAATAGTTACTGGTATAGAGAAGGCACTTTATAATGCCATCATTTTTATTATCATCCTTGACAACTTTAGTATCCATATTGTTTCCTGTTGACTTTAAACCTCTGGCCATATTGGCATCCACACATATTGCCTCCTTGAATCAGCTCATCACACAGTATTGCTTTATGAAGATTTTGAACCTGGTCTAAGTCCTTCTACTTATCTTCCTCATTCCTGAAGACTTCTAGAAACTCCCCTCTATTCTCTTCCCTTAAATCGCTGATTTTCCAAATTTACTCACACACTAGCAACCTAGTTTCCCAAGCTTTAACTGTCTCAATTTCCAATGTGAACATTCAACACTTAGTCGGTGTAAACTTAATTTCTGCAATCTTCTTTTACTATATACACTTAAAGCTCCCCTCAATGCCTAGAGATCTTATTTATCCTTTACTAATCAAATGTTCATATCTTCCACGAAGCCTTCCTCATCATTCAAGAATATACATATTCCAGCCCACAACGACCTCACACTGCCCAAATACAAAAACTCACAAACCACACAGATCTCATATACATTACGGAATTGCTTACCTGGGTATTTACTGAGAATCTTTATTTAGATGTTTTATGTGCATATGTTACCTCCCTACCTATATTATAAACTCCTTGAAAGTAGAAATGCTAGTGGAAACTGACAATATGTCAGGCCTTCTTCGACATACTTTACAAGTATCAACTCATTTAATCTCTATAGCAACCCTAAGAAATTGCCACTTTTATCCTCATTTTATCTCAAGGCAGGGAAAAGGGAAGTCAGGGAAAGGCTATCTTTTCCATAAGTGTAACTATAAAAGTTATATAATAGTTGCTGAATGAAGAAACTTAGTAATATAGTTCATAATCTTGTTCTAGTTTTATGAATGATTTATCTGCATCAATCTTAAGTTACTCTTTGTAAATATTGCTAAATAAAGGTGCTTCAATTCCATGACTCAAGACTATAGGACCATGCCAACAGCAGGAGTCCAACAAATGCTTTCTAAGAGTACATTTGGAAAGACTTTCTCTACAGTTTTGGATGCCATTCTAATATGATGAGAAAGCATTTGTATTTTACAGTTAGGGTGCTCTTTGTTCTACATATGCACTTTCTGAACTAACTTCTGTGACTCAGAGCTTATAAATCTACTTTTGCATATCATCTCTAATTTATAAGCACTTCAATTTAAAACTATTTAACCTATGTTTACTAACAATCAGCTACTAACTAGCTGTGTGACCTTTGGGAACTCAGATTTATGCATTTGAGATTTGCTTATCTTTAGGAAGAAGGAGGTGGAGTAGGACAAATTGGCCTTCAGGGGATTCTAAGGGAGTCATTCACTTATAAAATTATACTATCCTTAGGAGACTTTACAAATAGAGGAAATCATATTAATATAGAAGGAAATGTTTAAGAAACCATAACCAAAGTCAAATAAAAATGGTAACTCCAATTATTCATTGGAAAACTGACTTCCACATGAATAACTTAAATCTGTAACTGTAAATACATTATATCAATGGGAAAGTGCCACTCTCAGTTGCCCTGTTTTCTCAAATACCACTTCTAACAGTGCCTCAATTAGTTTAAAATGCAATCAAACCCCCTGAAGCTGAATATGTTCAACATCAGTAAAATACATTCATCTTTTCTGGGGGAAAAAAACAAACAAACAAAAAAACATGTTCTAAAAATATATGAAGCAAATATTTGTTACGAAGAACTCCTTTGAAAGCCTTAAAGTGAAATTTCCCCTTCCCTGCTCTTCTGCTTGTCAGGAGAGGGCTCTTGAAACAAACAAACAAACAAACAGAAAACCTCAGAACAGGAAACAAAAGCTAACATTCAGATCTTTGGTTCATTGTCTAGGTGTGATCTCAGCATTCCAGATGGAACCCTAAACTCCATTTTACATAGTTATACTGTACATTTATTGCTAATTTTATTGCTAGTATTAAAATATGAAATGATCTTTTTTTTTTTTGAAATGATCTTTAAATGCATTTTTATCTTCAAATGTAAAGGTATTTGGCTACTTAAAGTTTAGGTAGAAAGAAATTCAAAACTATTTTCTCTGAAAGTTAAAGCCTGAAACACACGATGCAAGTCAATATGAAATCACTAAGCATGTAAGTTCACTGAGCTTAAAAACATGAAAGTTTTACTTAAAGCAAAATACTTCTTTAGAAATTATGTTACTGTGATGCCCAAATTTTTTATGTTTTAAACTGTTTAATCCTGTCCTCTTATACACTTACAAAAATATGCTGAACAAAGAGAATTCAAAAATTTGTTTAGAATTACTATTATATAAATATTACATGTAGTTAAAAGACTATCATGTAGAAAACTATAACTGCATCATATATAGGTTGTGATATATTTGTGTATGTATAGATAAATATGTATACACATATATGTACATATATAATGTCAACTACCATTTTTCTTTTAATCAAAATTTTAAAGTACTGCAGATATAGCATACGTAATAGATATATAAAAGTATTAGAACAAAGCTGTTTCCTGAAAGCTAAGTAGTTGAGGGACAATAGTAGCACTGTCCTCAAGATTTTTATGACTGATGTCTAATATTGAAAGTGTTGAAGTTATGCAATTATAATAACAACCACATTCAATTTTGAGTATCATAAATAAAAACATATTGTTAAAATGTCATCACATATTTTAAATTATATGGAAAATAACCATTTCTTAGAATAAACAAGGAATAATTGAAATCTATACAACAATAGATGATATCCATTTACAATTAAACCAACAATAAAGGATCAGGGGAAAGGAGCCTACCTTCCATTGCCCTTTTAAAGAAGACCTTACAGCTCCCACAGGTAAGGACACCATAATGACAGCCTGATGCTTCATCCCCACAGATTAAACAAATCTTCTGAGGTAATGACTCGAAGCTGTATTGTGGGTTCTGGCTGGTTTCTGAATCCGGCCTTGAAATGCAAAACAAATTACTCCATTTATTTTTAAGTGCACCACTATCTAATACTAAAGGTTTCTTAAACCAGCATTAACAGAGTGAAAGGAGATTTTAAAAAGAGAACTTCATATATACACTTAAAAGACATGCAAACTTGGTAATAGGCTACTTGTAACTGAATTCACCAGACTTGCAAATGATTAGCCAGTCATCAGTAGCACCAATATAAAAGAATAATTAATGTATAATATGTTCTGGAAAGCTAAAGTCGGTTAAAAAGAAATCTTTCTACAAAACTCTATATAGAAGCAATTTAGTTTTTGACAAATGAAATGTTATGTCCTTTCTGTCTGTATGCTCGGTCAAAACAAACAGTTGGGATTTAAAAGTTCCATGGCACTTTGCAATGTTTTGGTTTTGAGTTTTTAAAACACAACCCTGTAATCATTGCTTACTTAAATAAGTATGTGTTTGTCATTTTAAAGTATTGTTCAATACACTGACACTGTTTTGCCTACTCACAACGTAAGATTCAAAACAGAGCATTCTTTTTCTTTTACATCCCATTACTTCAGTATGCACATTAAAGTGTTTTTTAAACCTGTATGAAAAAAAAGTAGTGAATCGCAAGCAATAATTAGAAAACGGTGCAATGCACTGATTGGTGTTTAAATTCACAGTTTAAACATCTCCCACGTGAACTTAAGTTTAATCTTGAGAGTCTTAAGACAACTGAGCCGTTAAAGTTTTCAAATCCCTAAGATCGTGCTGCTTTCGGTTCTGGCCCGCCACCTCTCAAGTCCCACCCTTCCCGGGGGAACGGTGCCTTAACTCCTCTCCAAGACAGGCGCTGCTGGAAAACGTCCTTCTAAGAAAGAAGCATCTCACAAAGCCCCCGACTCGGAGCGCACTTTCTGCTCCGCTGGGCTACAGCGGACCTAGTGTGACGCTGCACATTTTAAATCAGGGTTGGTTCTGCTTCGGAATCTGGAGAATTCGGAAGGTTAAAAAAAGAAAAAGAAAAAGCTTTCGGGGAGGCATGCTCCAAAAACGGCACATTCTGCGCCCACCTTCGTGTCCCCAAAAGAGTGAGGAGAGAAGGGAAGAAGGGAGGCAACTGCCCTTGTGCCGTATCCCGCTGCCCACCCTCTCCGGCCGCCCGGGAGAGCGCAGCCTTGAGCCGGGGCTGGGGCTGGGGCAGTGGTTGGCGGCTGCAGCCGGCGGAACCGCTACTCACGGACGCGCTGGATGCGTCCCGCGGGACCTCACCTCAGGTAGTTGAGATAGGGCGGGTAGACCTGTGGCAGGCCCTCCTTGATCACAGCGGCCTGGTAGCCGAGCTGAGGGAGCCCGTTGAGGCCGAGGGCAGGGTAGAGCGCGGGAGCCGCCCCAGCGGCGGTGGCAGCGGCGGAGGCAGAGGTGGAGGGCAGGCTGTCGCGTGGGAGCAGGCAGCCCCCCGCGCCCGGTGCCTTGCAGGGCGGCGGCGCGAACGGGCCCTGCTGGGGCTGCGCGCCCTCGGCTTTGTACAGGATGCACTCCAGGGTCGACCCCGACGAGGACGCGGACGAGACTGAGGCACTGGCGGGTGCGGCCGTCACCGCCGCTTCCCCGGGTCTGGATGGGGGCGCTCGTGGCGGCAGTGGGGGCGGTGGCCCCAGCGGGAAATCCGGGAAGGCGGTGGGGCTGGCACCGGCCACCAGGTAGGAACGCGGGGAGCGCGTGGAGGTCTCCGCGCCTTCCTCCTCCTCCTTGATCTTCAGGGCGGGCGGCTGGAAGTCGCCATAGAGAGGGTACACGTCGTCCTTGGGCTCCGCGTCGGGAGCGTACGCGCAGTCGGGGAAGTCGCTGCCAGGGACCGGGGTGGACGAGGCGGAGGGTGAGCTCCGCGGCGGCGCAAAGGCGCTGGCGGCCCCGGACCCGCCGTCGTAGCTCTCGTCCTCCAGCAGCTGCCGAGTGCGAGCGGCCAATAAGGCGTGACTGAGAGGCAGGATGGGCACGTGGATGAAATCCGTGACCGTGGTGGCCAGCGGGGAGCGCCCGGGCGCCAAGGGCGCGTCCTGCTCCACTAGGGCGACCCTGGGCGCTGAGAAGCGGGAATCTTCCTTGGGGACCAGGGCGATGCCTCCTGCAGCCGTCCCAGGCGTGACAGCCGGGGCTCCTCCGCCAGCAGCCGCACCACCCAGAGCCCGAGGTTTGCCCTTCAGAAGCAGACCCGCAGAGTCCTCGGACTCGGAGCCATCCTCCTCCTCGACCTCCACCGCAGCGGGCTGCGGAGACGGCTTCACTGGAGCCCCGGACCAATGAGGGCTCCCAGAGGTCGGGAGCAGCAGCTGCCGGGAGGGTGACAGGCCCCGGGGCAGCACCTTATGGGCAGCTGCCATCCCGGAGCTGTCTCCAGCCTTGCCCCCGGACCGGCTCATGAGCGGGGACAATACCCTCTGGGTGGCGGGGGCTGCCGGTGGATCTTCGGGAAGTTCGGGGCCAAACAGGCACCAAGAACTGGTGACCTCGCAGGCAGGAGGGCTGGGTTGGCTCTGCCCCGGACCTGAGGGCGCCCACAGAGTGTCCAAGACACTGTCCAGCAGTCCGCTGTCCTTTTCTGGGGGTCTAGAACTGCTGCCTCCAGCACCCCTTGTAGCTTCAACTCTGGAATATGCACCCTCCACGTCCGACAGGGACTGCTGGTCCTGCGTCTTTTCGTCGGGGGGGTCCTGTGCCTGGCAGATCCGAGGGAAGAGTAGCCCGTCCAGGGAGATAGGTAGGGCAGAAACTTCAGGCAACGTGTCCGAGGTTTGGCTCCCTGGGAACTGGCCTGTGGCTTGGCGACACGGCAGTGGGGATCCGACTTTGGGGGAGGACGGGCTGCCCGCCACGTGGGGAGCCCGGAGACCCTTTGCCTTCAGCTCAGTCATGATGACCTGGATTCCCCTTTTCTCCTCCCCCGTCTCCAGGGAGGAGGGAAAAGGAAAGAAGGAGGGGGTTTTGGGAATATAGGGGGAGAGGGAGGGGAAAGCGGGTGTTGAATGTGGCTGGACCAAAGGGATCTCCACCTCCTGGGTCGGGGGTGGGAGAGGGCGGCGCTGGTCAGCTCCTGCCCTTGGCTTCCATCCTGTCGTCAGGGGAATGGTAGCTGTCGTTTGTCCCAGAGAGCAGCAAGTGGGGAGAGCAAGAAAAAGTAGTTATTGCAGGGATCTCGACTCTTAACTGGGAGAGTTCTCCATGAGAGTTCTCCGGCTTCTGTCCGAGGACTGGAGACTCAGAGTACTCACAAGTCCGGCACTTGAGTGGCTGCGGCTGCGACGGCAATTGAGGGACACGCAGCTCCTTATCTCCCGACTTTTTTACTGGCATCAAACTCGCGCATGCTGTGAAGTTCTCAATCCCTCGCTGAGTTCCACTGCACTTCTCACTAAAACCCTGGGGCTAGTCGGACCTCTCCCAGGAAAGGTCGTGCTTCTGCTGGCTCCCTACAGCGGGTGACAGTCATTTCTGAAGATATCAGTTCCCAGCAGTGCGGGAGCTCTAGCCTCCTCCAGTTGCAGATTTTACTCAAATGACAAGTGAAGCTAGTTCTCATTGAGAGTGCTACCCAGACGCCAGAGTCCTTGCACAAATACAAGGCTTACCCCGATTAGTGACAGCTTTGGACTGGCCCGACAGCTTTCTAACAACGCCTCCTCTTCTAGAGAGGCCCCGCCCAAAGCCCCTCCCTACCCCAATTACGGGTAGGATCTGAAACTCGAGTTAGCTTTTCCACCCGTTATTCTGAATGCTACCCTGAATAGCAGGTTCTTTGGGATGGAATCTCATAAGCATATTATATTTTGTTCTGCAAATTAAGAATTATGCCCTATCTTATTGGAAAAACGAATAGATTCTACCAGAAGTAGAATTTTTATCACCATTTTAGGATTTCAGTTTTGTAAAGATTTAATACAGAGGAAGACGTTTGGCTACATTATGTTTTAAAATAATAAATGTATCAAAGATGATTCTAAATACTTTAAGAGATTCTCTCCCTTATGAATTCCATAAAAGTGAGTGCTTTCAAGTTTCTCCTGCTGCAACCAACATGTCCTGCTCCTCTTGAGTAATCCTCAATGTGACAAGCAAATTTGGGAGTGGGAGATAGCAACAACTCTGTATCTATGATGGAAGTTTGGATGTTGTGTGCCATACTTTGATTTGTCCTAAGGAATGTGTTCCAATTTTTAGTAAATAGCGCTTCAAGGAAAGTTTCCTTTAGCTCCAGCTTATACCCTGTGCTACATCATAAGATCCTCAGTAGAGATGTTGAAAGTACTTTTTCCCGTAGATATTCTTAGTCTGAAAAATAATTATCTTTGAGCTTATAAAATGGATCATCTCTAAATTCATGGAGTCAGTAGAGAAAGGAAAGAATATTACAGTATATATTTTAGATACAGAGTCATAAACTGTATTTGATGCAAGACTACTGGATATTTTGACATCATCTTAAATATACCCTGTTCGAAACAGAGTAAATGATTTGCAAATCTTCTTATAGGGCCTCAAGGTCTAGCTATGCTAATGACACACAGTTTATCTCAATCATGTATAGAGGATACACAAGAAGACTCCAGGAGGGGTGGAGCCATTAGAGGTATGGAGCTTGGACCTCTCAGTCATCTGGGGAGAAGTTACGTGAGTGAGAAATACACCTTTATTTTGTTAGGTCACTAGGATTTGGAGTTGATTGTTCTACCAATTAGTTTACTCTGGTTAATCTTAGATATGTGGGAGTTAGGCAGGTAGAGGAAAGGTAAAGAGAATTCCAGGAAGCTGGTGTAGTATGTTCACAGACAATCAAATAGCAGGATATAATATGGCAACTGCAAGGGGACCCTTATGCATAAAGCAGGAGTAAGAGTGGGTACAGAAGTCTATGAAAGTAGAGAGGTAAACTAATTGATTATATTAATATCGTTATTACTGTTTTCAGGCTTTCTCTTTCCAGCCTATCTTAGAACAGTTACCATGCTTTATTGAGGTATAATTCCAATATCAAAGTATCAATTCATTGATTTTTCATGTACTCAGAGTTGTGCACACTATTAGTTTTATAACATTTGCATAACTCGCATACCCACTAGCAGTTACTCCACATTTCCCCCTAATTCTCCCAGCAGCCACTAATATGCTTTTTGTATCTGTGATTTGCCTATTTTGGATCAAGGTTCATCCATGTTCCACATGAATCAGCACTTCACTCCTTCACTGATTTTTATTGCCAAATATTTCATTGTATGGATAAATCACATTTTATTTATCCATCTCTATCAATTGTTGGACATTTGGGTTGTTTACACCTTTTGGCTACCATGAAAAATCCTGCTAATGAACCTTCATGTACAAGATTTTTGTCCAGCGTATATTTTCCTTTCTTCTGAGTATACACGTAGGAGTGGAACTGCTGGGTCATATGGTAACTCTAGGTTTAGTCTTTGGAGGAACTGCCAGACTCTGGTTCAAATGATTGTACGTTTTACACTTCCACCAACAGTGTATAAGGGTCCTGATTTCTTCACATCTTTGACAACACTTTTTATCTGTCTTTTTTGTTATGGCCCTCCAAGTGTGTGAAGTGGTATTTCACTGTGATTCATTTGTATTTTCCTGATGGCTAATTTCACACAGTTGTAGATTTTACTTTGGGGAGCAATTTTAGATTTACAGAAAAATTGAGCAGTTAATATAGAGAATGCTCATATATCATTTGTACATATTTCTCTGTAAGCATTTTAAATTAATAGGGTACATTTGTTACAATTAATGAACTAATACTGATATATTATTATTAACTAATATTCATAGTTCATTTAGATTTTCTCCATTTTCACTTAATGTCCTTTTTCCTTTCTAGGATTCCATCCAGGACACCACATTTAATTGTTATGATGTCTTGGGCTCCTCTTGGCTGTGAGAGTTTCTCAGGTTTTCCTTGTATCTGATGACCTTCACAGTCCTTAAGAGTACAGGTGAGGTATATTGCAGGATGCCCCTCTATTGGAATTTGATGTATCCTCACGAGTAGACTCTTAGGGATTTTGGCAGGGGTTGGGGGGAATCAAAGAGGTAATGTGCCATATTTATTACATCATATGAAGGGTACGTATTGTCAACACGACTTAACGACTGTCAATGCTGTTCTCCATCACCTGGCTGAAGGTGTTTGTCAGGTTTCTCCATTGCATAGTGACTCTTTTTTTCCCTCTTTCCATACCCTGTACTCTTTGGAAGGAAGTCATTATGAGGAAGTGTGGGGGAGTAGGGAGTTATGCTAGCCCTCCTTTGGAATGCAGTATCTACATAATTTATTTGGAATTCTGTGAGGAAGATTTGCCTCTTCTCCCCGACTTACTCCATTATTTAGCCTTTTATTTACATCTGTGTGGATTTGTGAATACTTTGTTGCTCAAATTGTTCCGGTTTTGGCATTGGGAGCTTTTTCAGTTGACTCCTGTGCCCCTTGACCCACTCTTCTTATTGAGTGCATGCGTGTGTGAGTGCGCTTTCTTACTTTCTGGTATTACAATATGCAACAGACTCATCTTGTATATATCCTGCCCTAGTTGTAGAATCAGCCATTTATCCAAAGAAGTTTGAGTCTTCTTATTGGAAACTGGTATAGAAATGACAATCGGGTGCCAAACGTCCTCTTAAGTTACTTTTAATTTCTTAGAGTTGTATATAATACAGTGTGTGCTTTTTTCATTTGGTTTCTTTCACTCAGTATAATTATTTTGGGATTCAGCTAAATTATAGTATATATCAATAGTTAATTCTTTTTATTTATAAACTATAGTTTATCAATTTACCTGTGGATAAATATCTGAGTTGTTTCCAATTTTGTGATATTATAAATAGAGCTACTTTGAAAATGGCATATAAGTCTTTGTATGGATGTTTGTTTTCTTTCTTTTTTTCTAGGTAAATACCTAGCAGTGAAATGGCTGGATAAATTAGTGAGTGCTATAGTCTGAATATTTGTATTATCCTCAAATATGTCTGTGAAAACCTAATCACCAATGTGACAGTCTTAGTAAGTGGGGCTGTTGGGGAGTGATTATGTCATGGAGCGCTGCCTTGCCCCTTCTACCATGTGAGTACACAGTAAGAAGTTGCCATTTAGGAACTGCAAAGCAGGTCGTCACCAGATGTCGAACCTATCACCTTTATTGTGGACTCCCCAGCCTCCTGAACTGTGAGAAATAAATTTCTGCTGTTTATAAGCTACCTAGTTTATGGTATGTTGTTATAGCTGCCCAAATGGACCAAGATAATATGTGTACATTTAACTGTCAAAAAATTTCCAAAGCAATTGTATCATTTTACATTTCCACCCAGTATATTAGAATTCTAATTCTTTCATAAGAAGCAGTTCTAATTCTTCTTATTGTATACTCACATGGACAACAATTGGTATGGTCAGTATTTTTAACTTTAGCAATTCTAACAGGTAGGTAGCTGTATCTCATGATTTTAATTTGCATTTCATTAATGACTAATGGTGTTGATCACATTTTCATATGCTTATTTGTGATATTTATATATTCCTCTTCTGTGTATCCGTGTGTCTGTTCGAATCTGTTTGCTTTATTTTTTAAAAAAACATTGTTTTGTTATTGTTGAATTTTCAGAGTTGTTTATGAATTCTGATAGAAATCCATTGTCATATATAGGATTTGAAAATAGTTTCTTCTAACCTGTGGCTTGTCTTTAAGTTCTCTTAACAGGAATTTTTGAAGAGCAGATGTTTTTAATATTGATAAAGCCTCTTAATTTACATTTTTATGAATTATGGTTTTGGTGTCATAACTCAATATTCCTTGCCAAACCTAGGTTGTAAATGTTTCCTGACATGTTTTCTTTTGGCTTTATAGTTTTAAGTTTTACATTTGTATCTGTGATACATTTTAAAGTTACTTTTTAATATGGTATAAGGTCTAGATTAAAATTCACTTTTTTTGCATGTGGATATCCAGTTGTTTCAGCACCATTTGCTGAAAGAATATCTGTTCACTAATTACCTTTGTACCTTTGTTGAGAATCCATTATTCAGATATGTAGAGATCTGTTTCTATACCCTCGGTTTCGTTTAATTGTATTACTGGACAGTTTTTATGTCAATACCACTTTATCTTGATTAATATAGGTGTAATTTTTCAAGCTGTTCTTTTTTAAATCCCTCTGTATAAATGATAGTGTTTTTCCTCTAACCTTCCAGTCCTGGGGGTGAGGAGGGGCAGCCCACAGCTGGTTGAAGGAAAAGACAGGATCCAGGGCGTGTTCTCAAGCTACAGATTGTACAAGAGCCAACGCATAAAGGTTTCTAAGCAGAGTGCTAACAAAGAGAAGCGCCCCACTTCTGTTTCTGAACTCCAGCTTTCAGTGTTGGTGGCCCTGAATCCCCTACCCAGAAATGGAAATGCCAAAGCCACCTACCTCCCTTCCCAGTAGGACATACGGTTAAGGGCTAGGCCATTTTCCCTCCTGAGTGGAGTCCTTCTTTCCCCCACGGATACTTAATGTACTAGTGCTCCAATTTTATTCTTCTTTTTCAGAATTGTTTTCATTGTTCTAGGTCATTTGCATTTCCATGTAAATGTTAGAAGCAGTTTGTTAATATCTGCAAAAAAAAAAAAAAAGCCTTCTGCAATTTTGATTGGGATTGAGTTGAAATTATAGATCAATTTGGAGAGAGTTTACTTCTCACCAAAATTAAGTCTTCCAGCCCATGCAGATAATATATCTCTCCTCCTCTCAGCAGTGTTTTGAAGCTTTCAGTCTATAGGTCTTTCACATCTTTTGTTAGATTTATCTTCAGTTATTTCATATTTTTATGGGTATTTTGAATGGTGTATATATTAGCTTTCCATTGCTGAGTCAGCAAGTACCACAAACTTACTAGCTTGAAAATTATAATCTTACAGTTATTATCTTACAGTTTCCATGGGCCAGGGGTCTGGGCATAAGTTGGATGGATCCATTGCTTAGGGCTTACCTAAAACATGTGCCAACCTCCTGTTCCAGGTATTTTTCTGACCCCTCTGTACCTGTTCTCAGGATTGTTTTGATTTGCTGATGGTCAGATTTGCTAGGAAAATATTTTTCACAAAGCAGTTATCCTCATGAAAAATTGAGATGCATGAAAAGATGGCGGCAATCAGTGGATCAGCCAGCACTGCATTGGCATCTGTGGCTCAGGGTCAATCTAGACTTATTCAGGTGACTGGTAGTGTTCGGTTTCTGGCAGCTGTAGAACTTGTGTGACTTTCATCTTCTTTGAGGTCAGCAGGAGACAGTTTTACTCATGCTTTTTAAAGGTTTCTGCCTGATTAAGTCAGACTCTCCCAGATGGTATCCATATTCATACTATTCAAAACCGATTTGGGATTCTTTTTTGTCGGGGAGGGTTAGAGTCTCGTTCTGTTGTCCAGGATGGAGTGCAGTGGCAAGATCACAGCTCATTGCAACCTCAAACTCCTGGGCTCGAGCAATCTTCCTACTTCAATCTCCCAGGTAGCCAGGACTATAGGCATACACCACCAAGGCTGAGAAATTTTTATTTGTATCTTATTTTTTGTGGAGACAGGGTCAGTCTTGTTGTGTTGCCCAGGCAGCTTCCATCTCTTGGGTTCAAGTGATCCTCCTCGCTCTGCTTCCCAAAGTGCTGGGATTATAAGCATGAGCCACCACACCTGGCCTGATTTGGGATCTTAATTACATATGCATATTTCTTTTTACCATAAATGTAACATTATCCACAGGAGTGACATCGATCATATTGATTGTCAAGTCTACATTGAAGGTGAGACAATTATACAAATATTGTACAACAGGGGGCAGGAATTTTGGAGACCATTTTATAATTATACTAAATTTCTATATTGTGCATTTTTAGTGTTTACACAATTTAATCTTTAATTGGAGTGATATGATTGGGAATTTTTGCCAGTTTGTTGATTTTAGGAAGAAATCATTTAGTCTTTTAAGATGAAACATGATGTTTGCTACAGATTTTTCATAGATACCCTTTCTCAGGTTGAAGAAGTTCCCTTCTATTCTGAGTCTGCTGAAAATTTTATTAGGGGTAGATGAAGGTTTTTGTCAAATGAATTATTTCTGCATCTGTTCAGCTAATCATACAGTTTTTCTTTTTTAATTGGTTAATATGATAAATGACAGTACTTAAGCTTTGAATGTTAAACGAACCTTGTATTCTTTGGCTAAATTCCACTTCATCATAATGTATTATTTTTATATATTGCATTTTGATTTGTTAAAAACTTGTTTAGAATTTAAAAATTTCTACTCATTAGGAATACTGGCCTGTTGATTTCTTTCCTAGTAATGACTTTATCTGATTTTGGTATCATGAATTCCACTTATATACATGGTATATTTTCTTTCTTTTTTTGAGATGGAGTCTAGCTCTGTTGCCCAGGCTGGAGTGCAGTGGTGCAATCTCAGCTTACCATAACCTCTGACTTCCAGGTTCAAGTGATTCTTGTGCCTCAGCCCTCTGAGTAGCTGGGACTATAGGCACATGCCACCACACCTAGCTAATTTTCTTTTTTTTTTTTAAGTTGAGACAGGGTTTCACTATGTTGGCCAGGCTAGTCTTCAACTCCTGACCTTAGGCATTCTACCTATTTTGACCGTTCAAAGTGCTGGGATTACAGGTGTGGGCCACTGTGCCCAGCGTACATGGTAAAATTTCACATTAATAGAATAAAATAAAAAAATACAGTGATAGGTGTAGTCTTCACAGATAAATGTATTTTGGCACAAGATGCTCTTTGGTGTTGGCTGTCCACTATGGCAGTTAGCATAGCATGCAAAGAAAGTCCTGAAGCTTCCTTAAACATAAAAAGATGATTAAGTTTTATCATGTCTGTTTTTCAGTTTTTATAGTGAACTAAGGAATCATTCATTCATTGTTAGAAACATCTGCCTATATTATATCATTAAACAGCTTGCTCTGAGTCTTATTTTTCAAGTTGTACAACATTTTCTGCACTGTCATATATCATGTTCATTACATATGTGTTATTATCTCCATTTTATAGTTATTAGGAGAGCCAGAACTAACTACTAGGGCCTTTGATATTAACTGTAGTGTGACTTTTATTTTAAACATTGTGTTTCTCTATTTTTAACAATCCCAAGTGTTGAATAGTTGACAAGGTTGTTGGAATAAAGTAGAAACATTTGCTTGCTCTGAGAACCCAGAAATATGAATATATTCAGAAGGGCATATTGGGTCACCTAGACCTATGACTTGGCTAGTTGAAAATTTTTATTGTCTATACAAGTTTAAGAAATAGGATTTGGTACCTGTTGTTCTAGCTTGAGGCAATTCTTACATATTTACGTAGGGCCAATTGCAGATATAACTTAGGACTTGATGGATATTGTAAGAGGAGTATCCAGAGGTCACTGCTCTGACTTTCCTGGCGCTCTCTCTGTTTCTGAATCACTCCCCATACAACCACTAGGTTACTCAGGCCCTTCCACAGATGTACTGAATAGCCTGCAATGAATACCTGATTTTTATACCCATGTCAGATGGTATATATTTTGGCTAAAGTAACAGGATACTCAACAAAAAGTTAGTTTTATAATAGATGTTTATTATCCCTCATAACAAGAAGTCTGGGGGAAATAGTTCTAGGGTTGGTTAATCATTGGTTCAGTAATGGTCTCACAGCCTCAGACTCCCTGCCTTTTTGGTGAACTACCCTCAGAAGCTTAGATTTTGTTTTCTTCCTTGTCCTCAGCATCCAAAGATGGCTACTAAACCTGCAGGCATCAGAGCCTCACATAACCTCATGAAGAATTAGGAATAAGGAGAATTTCTCTTGGCATTATTTTTTTAAATCAGGGGGAAAAAATCTTACGCAGACGCCCACTCCATAGACATCCTATCAAGATGTATTGGCTAGAACTGAGTCATCTGTAC